GCCAGAGCGAGACGCCAGGGGAACGCAATGGCACGTGAAACAGCAGAGCAGCTTATGAATAGCTAAAGCGAATAATCAACAAAAAGCTAAATTAAATTATTCAAATTAAAAATGAAACTAACTGGAATGGCATGCGGGGGACAGTTGGGCAGTATTAGCACGAAGTGAAACAATGTGGAATTGGAACATTATAAGAGACTTCTTGAAGAGTAGTCTCAACTATATACATACATATATAGCAGTTATGGCACATTAGGTCTAGCACATGACACAAATGAATGGGGAATGCTATGGAAATGGAACAATGAAAAGCTAAGATTCAACATTTGAATTTGATCCAGACTGAAACATTGAATGAACTTTAATTTAGGTAAATGAAGGAATAGCCAATAGAGGAACGAGTGGAAATGAAACACTGCTCCTAGCATAAAGTGCAGAATAAAACGTGCTTTAGGCGCTTTTCGGTAGTAGAGCGGCCCTCTTCAGTGTTGCCTAGGGTATACAAAATTGTGTCATTGTGCGTGTGTGTGCGTAAGTGTGTGTTGGTGTGTTTGTGCTTGTTCCCTTGGGGTAACAGCTGAGGACGGGAATGCGAGGTCCGTTGAGTGGCGGAGCTTTGGAAATGTCACAACTGATTCAAAGGCAGGGACTGAGGGATTGGTGAGGCCTACGAGACGCTGGCGACACGATTAGTTGTGTGGCAGTTGTTGGCAGCTCATTGCCCCCTGGGAACACGGCAATGGAACGGCAGCCACAACAAACAGGCGGCCGAAAAAAACAAAGCCCCAAAAAAGTACAACAGAGAAAAAGACAATTTGGCGAATTGGAATACTTTGGTTTAGTTTTCTGACGAAAGGCGAAGAGAGTAAGAGGGGAGGGGGGGGGGGTGAGGGTAAGAGAGGAAGAGCCATGTTAATCGTATAGTGACCATATCTGCAATGTCGGTAAATGCCATCTGACAACTGTCAACGGGGGAGAACAGCTTAAAGCTTAAAGCCCCAGGCCTAAAGCTGTTTGCCCGGGCGCGCCTCTCTACGCGCTTCTCATGACAGGCAGCTTGTAAACAAAATTTATCACTGACAATGTTTTTTCTCATTTTCCCTTATTTCTGTGCAAAATAAATAAGAAAACGACAGCAGCTGCTTTCAAGTGGATTAAAGAACAGATTCAGCAGCAGCAGCAGAAGCAGAAGCAGAAGCCGAAGTTGAGGCAGGGGAATGCGTGGAATGGGAATGGGTAGAGACAGTGCCAGCTGTTAGGCGGCAGGTAGCAGCTCTTAACTAATTAGCAAAGCTTTTTATTTATTTCGCTGTATTAGCAAATGCTTCATTTGCCTGCAGCTGTTGGGCCAGGAATAATTCTCTCAAGTTGAGGAACTCATTCGGAAATAATTCAATTGATAAAAATAAGACCTCAATTGACAATAGAGCGGAGAGTGGAGGAGCGAAATGTAGTGAAAAGTGAATGCTAGCGCCAAGTGGAACATCATGAGAAGCATGATTAAAATATAGTCTCTGCCTGATGAATTTACTCATATACACCCACAGCAACATATTTTAGAAGTTTATTTAAACTCTGGCTGGAGCGAAAAGCTATCTGCATACACATATATAACTAAATATATATGTGTATAGGTATATACACATATATTCTCTGATTGCTGAGGAATTTGTTTGTTTCGCCCCGGGTGCAGAGCAACCGAGAGCTTTTGCGAATCGAATTCATGTTGATTCGCCGACGACAAACAAAATGCATTGAATCAAAATTTTGAAATATGAATAAACACACACACACAAGCGCACGCACTCACGGAGAGAGGAAGACAGCAGCACGCGTTTACACCTGCTCACTTACCTGTATGGCAGCACTTGGCTGTATTGAATGTCGCATTACTTTGAATCGCTGCGACGCCGACGCCGACTGATGTCGGCGATGTTACCGATGCCCCTGTTAGATAGTCCATATACAGGTGAAGCTGTGAGGGTACAGGTGTGCAGGTGCGCCAACGAAAGATTGAACTTTGGTGGCTTTCATTTGCATAGAGTCTAGGAGTTAATGAAGATCTATAAATGGGCCTAGAGAGGAGAGAGATGGTAGAGAGTCTGATGCAAGATGTAGACCTCTAAAGCCCTAAACTGTTTGTGCTTGTCTAGTGGGACGAAATATACAGTGTTGTAAAACACCAGAAAGCCCTTAGCCTTCGTCCAGGTGAACAATTTATGCTTCGCGCTTGACAGATACAAACTTGTTTGTCTATGCAGCGTTAGTTGCTCATGTTTACCAGGTGTACATATACACGTGTATATTTATGTTGATTTMGCTATATATATATACCCTGTAATTGAGAGGGCGCCCACGCACACATACTGAAACCTCAGGCGGAACAAACAAACAAGACTTTGGGCATAATTTTAGACCAGACCAGAAGACAATATCTAGCCATGCATATATATCTGTATGCATATATATATGTATGTGTGTGTGTGACTGCCATTAGTTACGATATATCAATTTTCCCTATGTTTATTTCGCCTCGTATCGACTGCAATCGTTTCTGCGTTTCTACTGTACAAACCTCTAACTCTGCCCTCCCCCTATGCACACAGCCCCGCAGCTAACTATGAGCTACCCCATATGACTTCGACCTAAGAGCCACGCCCCCATGTGTAACGCCCTTTCTATAGGGCATTACTCGCGCATATTTACGAATATGAGTTTACAAAAAAAAATATATAATAATAACAAATAACTAGATATTGTATATGCATATGTAAAATTGTATGAGTAAGAAACTTATTTGCGCGACTAGCAGTTACCCTACACCCTTTCGTTGCACCAAGTTGTTATAGAGCAAGCGATAGATCTTTTGATGTATATATGATATACTGATCAGAATGAATAAATCTTTCGATCTCTCACTCTTGCTTGTTCTCTTACTCGCTCTCTCACGTTCTCTGTTTTCCTTCGCTAGCCTGAGCCAACTCGTTGAATGTCTGCTTACTATTTACAGGGTATATATGCATATAGGGGGCTGTTATAGCAACATGACATGGCAGGGCACAGGGCAACATACATATATACATATATAGAAACCTGACAATACGCTTTAACTGCGACTTGGATATCGAGGCAACAGTGTGCTCAGCCCTCTCCTCCAGCTAGGGGCTATCTAGGGTGGCATTGGAGGGTGGCTTGGGGTGGCTCGGGGTTCTGTTGCTTCTTTACTGTTCAACTATTGACAGCGAAAAAGCAATTGCTCGAGCTGCATTGCATTTTGCGTGCGATTCGATATGCCAGCTCAACTTTTGCTTCTGTTCCTCATTGTTATTGTTGCCGCTGCTGTTGTTGTTGTAGCTCGTTATTTGCTTTATCTGCTATTCGTGTTTGTCATTGTCCATTTCGCCTTATCGATAGTGGCATTAAATTTCTTGTTGGATTTTAGTTTCGCATTCGGATTTCTGTTTCGTTTGCACGTTCCGTTCGCTTTTCCGTTTCACATTTCCTGTTTCTTATTCTCACTACAAAAATCTATCGATAATGATTATCGAATAGCTCTCAAACAAAGTTTTATATTTGTTTTTTACAAATTTAGTTTCAAAGAGCAAGAAGAACGATTGTATATGTTATCGATAAGACAGCCGTCTGTTATCGATAGTATAGTGTATCTTTTTGAAGTTGCGCTTAATGTTGGCCTTAGCCCCGACTTTAAAGCCCCCTCTGTAAAAAGCTTAAGTGTGGAAAGCACCCAAATTTTCAATCGATAACCGCGCGCAATGATTGCTCTTGATATACACATCAATTGATCGAATTATCATAATTGATGACTGCAAATGATATGCATTATCTACAGCAGAGCTGCGCCTAATCCACGCCCCAAAACTGGGCGGCACTAGCCTTGACAAACGGCACAAAGAAATGCCTACACAGCCAAACAAAAGGAAAGCCCTCCCCCTCCCCAACCACCCACGCCCCCTTTCCATGAGGAAGTTAAATAATGTGCAGAGCGTTAAATCGAAAATAAACTTTGACAAAACAAAAATAAAATAAAGAATTACAGAAAATAATTTTTCAAATCAGTTCGAGTGCAAAAAAATACTCCCAAAGCCGCGACTCTTTGAATGCAAAACAATGGCGGCAAAACCAACGGTAAATACAAAATACTGAGAACAAAACCCAAAAACAAAAACCCGAACAAAACGAAAAAAGTTTTCAGCTCACACAAAATGGAGGCCGCAAAGGCAGTGGCGCAGTTAACAATTCGAGGGAGAGAGAAGGACAGAGAGAGAGAGTGAGAGGGGAGACAGAGAAGTTGCACGTCATATAAATCTAAGCGAGCTTAGAGTAAAAAAGATTTATTGTTTGATTCGGCTGAAAGTGCGCGAATTTTGTGTCGATTTTATGAATTTTATTTCGCTTGGTTTTTTCTTCTTATTTTTCGAAAACCATAAAACATTCAAAATACCCAAAGCGAAAGCCGTGTAACAAATTTGCGTGTGATTTCGCTGAGGATTGAATCTGTATACCCTGTAAGCAATCTGTGGCAGTGAGGGGTAGCTATTACCAAATGCAAATCAGAATTCAAATTTAGTGGTATATATAAAAAATGTTTGAATTTTTTCAATAAATGTTTGTGTCATGTCAGTCAACATTTATAAAGCATAGGGTATCTGTTAGTTCTTCATGCCCTCTACTTGCTTTTTTATGATTATAAAACCAACATCAATTTACCCATGAGAATCCGCTTGATACCCGCAGTAAACTTCTGCAATACTCTCGCATCTCCCTCTCCCTCTCCTCTTCCCTCTCGCTCGCTCCTTGCGTATTTTACAATTGTGCATAAGTTGTGCGTGGGCACTTCTCATGATCTCTGCACTTCCTTATAATGCGTGTGCGTGTGAGTGTGTAAACGCAACACTTTCACACTGGCACCCGAACGCACCTGTTGTCTCGCTCACACTCATTTACTCACTCCCCTCTTTTTGCGCTCTCTTTATTTGCAGATTAACATGTTGTTCGGGCCGAACGGGTAAGTTGACCACACTTAACACCACGCGCTAGAAGGGGACGGGGTAAGTTACCGTTACCGTTGGTCAGCCATTGTTAATGCTGCGCTCTGCTGCCGTTGCCGTTGCCGTTGTTGTTTTCGAATTCACTGTTGCTGTTGCTGTTGCTGTTCGTGCACATTGAATGGCTCAAAGAACTCGTTAATCGAGCATTTAGTATTATGTTTAAGTCCGCCATTGTATTGCCATTGTGGCCCTGGCAGAGCGAGAGGGCACTATACAATGAATTACACTTAAAAGTGCCCTCAAGACTGACCAAAAGCCCTCTTCCGCCCGCCCAATGGGCCCCCTCTCAGGCGTTGCACAATTGAAATTGATTGTTTGAGTAATAAAATCTATAGATTGCCGGATTTTTCAAGTTTATTTCCAGATTATATAACGTATATATGTATTTATATGATAATTGATTACATTGAAAACGCCCAGTGCAGCACTTTAAGCGGAAAACTCTCAAGTGCTTAACTTTTGTGTAGAACAAAAGTCGCCTGAGAGTAACTCGGAAAAGGTCAAGAAGCCATAGCATGAGCAGAGGACGGGAGAAGAGTGTGTAGTTGAGCTATTGCTAGGAAGAGCATGTGAGTGGAAAGTTCGCTTAGAGCATGTTAGATTTCATCGTATGCTCATCGTAACTCGGAAACTATCATGTTAAATGGCCCACCGGCATAACTTAAAATCTTTGGCTAGTCTAGGGGAATTTGGTATGTGAAAAAACCTAATCCTAAACGAAAAATGAAATTTGTCTTTTCCTGCTCACTGAATTTATGATGATCTATCGATAAATGTGCCACAAATTGAAGCATTATATATTGATTTGTAATACGAAAACTCGCCAAGGCTGTGCTACGCTGTCGTGCAGCCGTCTTTTACCTTTTCACATTTTCCGGAATGTTTTCAAATGTTTTTCTCTCGCTTGTGTAAAGCACACTTCCCAAACACTCGAATAGGGCCAGGGCACTCTAGGCGAGTTCAGTGTTGGCTCGTTAAAGGCCTCTCTCCACTTTATTTTTTCTGCATTTCTTTCCGTTTCACACATCATCTTGTGGCATTCTAAGCATGCTGGCAAAGTGCATTTTCTTCAATAGAAAGAAAATGAAAGAACATTTTCAAAATGGTTCTTTTGCAGTGTTTCGCTCTCTGTGTGCTGTAAAATTAAAGTGTGAAGCTATTAAGATGTCTGTCCGTCCGCCTGCCTCTCGGTCAACTCTCGACACTTGAAAGTCTCAGAGGCATTTGTTACATTTGAAAATTTACAAAATGTGCTTAAAATAGTTGAGTTGTGATTCTTTGGAAATCAAGAAAAATAAGCAAAATGTCAGAGCGAGAACTGAAGTGAGGGATAAGCGAGAAGGAGAGAAGTAAGCTTATAACAGTAGCTGCTCAAAGTATGCTGACAACCCAAAAAGTTGTAATCCCGATACAAATTGAGATATATTTGATAACTTGCAGAAGCTCTTGTAAGTTTATAATTTATCTGCATCGACTCGCTTGGTATATAGATCTCATTGAAGTCTATAGTAAAATATGCAACGTTTTTCTATATGCTTTGATCTGATTATAGTATATAGAAATCTCCTACAAGTATGTTGCACAATGAGTGTCTCAGTCGGTGTAGCCGAGTGGAGCAGAGAAATGCGTGTGCAACATGTTTTTTGCTCAAATCAAAACTCGAAGCTAACTAACAGCAAAAGTATGCGTACACACACACCTATACACTTATACACACGCACACACACTCATACACACGCTCATATTCACACTCACAGCTGCAGTCTGCTGGCTACGGGCATTCCTAATGAGCTAGTCAAGCTAGGCGCTACCTCCACTAAGAGCAAACTCCCCTTTCGGGCAGGCGCTCCCGCCCAGCCTTTTGAAGCTACGCCACTGGCTCGGTGCTACAGTTTGGCTCTTCAAGCTACTTTGCATGCAAATTGCACTCGATTTGCATACTTCTAGCATGCACTGTATTTGACATATATGTATATACATATATATATATGTATATATAAGTATGCTCAAGACTGCTTGTATGTGTGTGTGTGTGTGTGCCTCGCACATTATGTGCAGTCATGAGGCTGCATTTCTGCATAAGAATTATTCCCTCTTTCTCTCTCTCTCTCTCTCTCTCTCTCTCTCTATTTTGCTGTCACTCTCCTCTCTCTCTCTCTCTCTCTCTCTGCCTGCCTACTCCATTAGCTCAAGCCTCTCATCAATTCTAGGCTCACTTCTAATATAAATCAAATGTAATCAAATCAAATCAAATCAAACATATCAAAGGCTTTTCTTTCATTTCTATTGATATTTATGCATAAGAAATTGCAACATGCTATTCCCCTCTCTCTCACTGCTAGTCCCCTCCCCTTACATACCCTGTATATTTGTTCTACGCATTGCATAACTTATTGTTATGTAAATAGTTTCGAGAGCAAATATTCATACACTTAGCGCAAACAGGAAGACTTTTGATGACAAGGCAAAGCCAATATTAGCGACATACGAAAATATCAGTGCAGCTGTCTTCTCTCCTTTCTCTCAGTGTACCGCCTACGGGCCGCCATTCATGTGATATACATATATCTAGTTTCTATTGCTGTGCTGTGGCCTCCGCCTCCGCCTCCGCCTCTGCCTTTGTAAGCTGAACTGTAAATCGAATTGGAACTGTTTTTCCTTCTGTTTGCTAAACAAACAATGACGAAAAATTGTCGTAGGACTCGCCCCAAGGGCTTAAAGATTTCATGGAACTTACAACAATTTGTTGACTGGACAAATAGTTGCATTAGCTCCATGCATATTCGAGCTCTAATCGTGCTTTAATAGTGAGTTGAAGTCGAAGCTCGATTTGTTTACCAATAAATACAGTTAGCATAAATTCATTTGTATAGATTTTATGCAGTTATACAACACTGGCATTTCGCAGAAATGTTTCTTCCCTAGAATAACCATTCTACTCTATTCCTAGCTAAGCAGTACAGATCTCACTATAAGTGCTGCGGTATCTCTCTTCGCCCACTTAAGTGGACAGACAGATTACGTCTTGACAGTTATCCAACACTGGCTTTCGCCCGCCACACATATGCTTTCAACCAATGTCATTTGACACTTCAGCAGCCCTTCGGGCAGCTGATTGAATTGCCTTCTGGGCCCGTTAACAATTTCGACAATCTGCGACGACCTGGGCTGCTGGCTGACCCCTAACGAACCCGCAATCGACGCCCCCTCAACTCTCGACCCGCTCATTTGAGGGGCACGTGCAGTCGACAGGTTGGCAGGCTGGCAGGTGGGCAGGTGGGCAAGTGGGCAGGTGGGCGGGTAGGCAGATGAGCAGCTGGGCAGGTGCCTGAATCTCATGCATATTAAACGAGATGCGTGTAAACAATGCCTAAGCATTGTTGCTAGATGCACGGCCACGCCCCCTGGGCACCCATCCGCCCACTTAAGTTGAGTGTCGGGAACAGATTGAGAGTTACAGTTACAGTTACAGATACAGATACAGGTACAGGTACAGATACAGATACAGATACAGATACAGATACAGATACAGATACAGATACAGATACAGATACAGATACAGATACAGATACAGATACAGATGCAGATACCGATGCATACATTTACAGGGTATGCAATACTCAATACTGTCATTGTCACTGCTCATTTTGTCATCACTCATCACTCGTCGCTCTTTGGTCGTCGGGTCATCGGTCATTGGTCATCGGGTCGAGGGTTGGGGGTCGGGGGTCGGGGGTGGCTGGGCCATTGTGGCTCGAAGCGTGGCCAACTAATTGCATCGCTTGTCGGCGTCAATCTGTGACCCACAACTCGAGTTGCATCCACTTGACGCATTGAATTTATGCCGCTGCTTCTGTCANAGATATAGATATAGATACAGATACAGATACAGATACAGATACAGATACAGATACAGATACAGATACAGATGCAGATACAGATACAGATACAGATACAGATACAGATACAGATACAGATACAGATACAGATACAGATACAGATACAGATACAGATACAGATACAGATACAGATACAGATACATATACAGATACAGATACAGATACAGATACAGATACAGATACAGATACAGATACAGATACAGATACAGATACAGATACAGATACAGATACAGATACAGATGCAGATACCGATGCATACATTTACAGGGTATGCAATACTCAATACTGTCATTGTCACTGCTCATTTTGTCATCACTCATCACTCGTCGCTCTTTGGTCGTCGGGTCATCGGTCATTGGTCATCGGGTCGAGGGTTGGGGGTCGGGGGTCGGGGGTGGCTGGGCCATTGTGGCTCGAAGCGTGGCCAACTAATTGCATCGCTTGTCGGCGTCAATCTGTGACCCACAACTCGAGTTGCATCCACTTGACGCATTGAATTTATGCCGCTGCTTCTGTCACATGCCACATGCCACACGCCACTTGCCACTTGCCACATGCCAAGGATATATTTGTCGCTTCAGTGTGCCATTGAGTGCTTTGTGGCAGATGCCAGCGATGAGATGACAGCCAAATTCATACGCCGTGGATATCCAGTCGGAACGGAGGCAGCGCACGTCTGCTCAGACTCAAAGACTTTAAGCCCGATTTACAAGTCTAAACTAAGAAGAATTTCAGCACGCGTGACACGAGTCACGCTCACACTGTCATCTCCAATTTCCAGTTTGAAATGCATCTATTATAGCCTACGACAGAGCACCAAACAGCAAAGCCTAGGCATATATAGTGGCTACCTCTGCTATGCTCTGTCTCTTTGCCTCTCTCTCTCTCTCTCTCTCTCCATCTCTCTCTCTCTCTGCCCCTCTAGCTCCCTTGACCCTTGAGAGACAACAGGGCAAGCAAACTCATATATTTTCCAGCTCGTCGAGCCTGCTGCTCCGTTGTCAAAGGAGTTTGAGCACTTCAAGAAGAATGACAAACAACGGCAGTACAGCGAAAGG